TTTTTTTTTTTTTTTTTTTTTTTTTTTGCACGCCCGGGTGCCCGGCCGGGCAGGACCGGCCGGGCGTGAGAATCTTCCTAGGTATGAACATATTTCACACGTAGAATTTTCATACCTTGATTGTTCACTTCACGGCAAATGGGCACATCTCGTATTTGAAATCTTTGTGGAATACTAAGTGCTTTGACCTCAGGCCAACCACCTTAAGCCCTTTACAACCAAAATGTTAGTAGTTTGTCATTGTTGACAAATTTGAATGACCTTCAAAGCTTTCAAGTTTCAACTACTGCGAGCTTCTTTACACCGGCATTACACTTAATCTCTAATCCAAGTGTTATTGCAGAGGGGTCATTGCAGAGAAAGACGGAAAGTCATGGGAAGCGAGGACGCCGTAATGGTACCCTGTACTCTCTATCGGGACAAGGTGGAAGGATGGGAAGAGAAAGACGTTGAAGACATCGAGTGCCACATATAATCAATGAGAGAACGAGCACTAGAGTTAGAGAAGAACCAAAAGCTCATCGAGAATATTATTTATTTCCACAAACCAGACGAGAAGTTGCACGACACACTCTCATCCATTGAGGCTGCTGACCGAGCAAGGAGGCTTCTCAGTACCTAGCAATGAACTTACCCTGAGTATCATTTTCTAGGTCCTTAGGTCACATAGCGTACTACAAGTCAGCATCCCGGCCAGTCCCTGGAAAGAGGTGGATAATGCAACAAGGAAGAAAAGAACACCAGAAGGAAAATAAGAGGTGGATAATGCAACAAGGAAGAAAAGAACACCAGAAGGAAAATTTAGGAAAAAGTTTAGAGCAAGGGAAACGGAACAAGAACAAAAAAGAGGAAAAGTAATTAAAGAGGAAAAGGAACAAAAAAGAGAAAAAGGAATTAAAAGGAATAAAAAAGGGAGGAAGGATCAGAAAAGAGAAAGGAAAGGAAAGGAAAGAGAAAGGAAAAGAAAAAGTTTAAAAGGGGGGCGTCTAATTAGCGAATTGCCACTCAACTTTTGCTGCCCCACCACGAGAATGCTAAACAGGGCACAACCAGCACATAGGAGACTGGATTCGCTGTTGTTCTATAGTGGGGCGATGAGGCAGTTTACGGACCAACACTTGAGATTTAGAAAATGGTCGAAACAGGGCCAGTCCTCGAATGATGCTAGTTCCTCGCCTGGTCTGCAGCTGGAAACCACACCCAACCAACAGGACATGGGGGTTTTGACAGAGGAGGAAAGGGAGAATGAGCAACGGGGGCTGGCGTTGAGGGAGGGAACTGGGAACTCAGCCATTGAAGGCTCTGGGAGCGGTGAGGAGATGAGAGTGGCGAGCACCCATCAGCCACAACTCACGTGGGCAGACCGTCTCAAAACCCCTCAGAAAGGTCAGGTCCTCACAATTCAACGGGGTCAAGGAAGCCCGCGGTCGGGGAAGCTTGAGGTCTCCCTCGAAGGGCTGCCACCCGCCCGGGCCTTCTTCCTGGGGAAATTCTTGCTCCCATCAGAAACAAGAGTGGTTAACCACGGGGGCAGACAGACCATGGTGAAGGCGTATCCCAACCATGGGATAGCGGGTAGGGATGAAATCTACACGAGACACGCGAACAACTGGGTCTTTCATGACGACGCGGCCTTCAAGACGACAAATGACAAGGTCAGATGGATCGGCCGCCGCCTCGAAATCCTGAAAGAGAGTGCGGACCTGGCCCGTGATCAGTTTCTGATCCAACCTGTCACAAGCACCCTGTTCACAGTCCTCTCCATGTACGAATCAGATAAGCAAAAGATTGACGGCTGGAAACGTCTTTGCTGCGAGCGCTCAGAAGTTCGGATTCACCCGTGGATGCCGCAGAGAAGACCGGGACCGGAGGAAAGGAGGGCACAACTGATGCAGGATTTCCATTGGGTGGAGTTTCGCCACATCCCGGTGGAAATCCAGGCGGCTTTCGTATACGACTTTGGTCTGTTATACGATATTGTCGCCTTTATCGACCCCCTCCCTTCCTACGTGGCGAAAAGGGACAACTATTTGATGTTGGCCCTCGACTTCCCCCAGGGCCAACCTTTCTCCCTGGACGATGTGATCCCTTATCGGGTGGGGGGAAAGGAGTACCTCATTCACACAGCTCACAAGCTGCGGCCCTGGTGTCACAAGTGCAGAGCCTATGGCCACTTATGCACCGATTACAACTGCCCGATGCAACAACAGAAAAGGGCGCGAGCAACCGGGAGACTGCTCAGAGACCCATTCAAAGTGACCCACTGGCGCACGGTGGACCCGGGACATGAGGGATGGGTGTTTGTAGAAGAACCGACGAAGGAGGGTCCTCCGGTAGGATGGATATGGGAGAAATATGGGGAACCAGATTGGGGGACATGCCCGCCGGACGCACGGGTTCCTCCGGCCCCAGTGGAAAAAATGTGCAAGCAAGAGCAAAGAGGAGATCTGCTCCCCCAGAAGCACACCCAGGAAGAACTGGAGTGGAAGAGTGTGGGAAAGAAAAAGGGGAAAGGGACCTGGGTTCAAAAGCAGCAAACGGGATCAGAACAGGGGCCCTCAGACAAAGGAAAACAGGCCTCCCTTGCTGCTACCCCGGGCCCTTCGGCAGAGAGATACCTCCACGATGCCGCCTCCCCACCGCTAGGGGGGATTGCCAAGGAGCTGCTGGAGAAAACTGACGCAACAGAAACCACGCGCAACCGGACAAGAAGGAATGCGGGAGGGGAACGGCTGCAGGCGTCGGCGGAGTTGAGGGGAGGAGAGGAGGCACAAATGGCGGATGGCTCCCTTATGCAGCAGGTGTCAGAGTGCCCTGGGGGCTTGACGGTAGGACGATTGGAAAGGAAACAGGGGGGAGAACAGACGGGAGGGGGTAAGGAGAGGGGGTGTAGGCCCGGGGAAGGACAGGAGGAGGTTGAACGGATGGAGGTGGAGGAAGGGGACAAAGGAGGTGAGGGAGGGGGACGCCGGTTGGGGGAAGGGCAGGAGAATGGCGAACAGATGGAGGTGGAGAGAGGGGATAGACAAAACCAACAGAAGAACCCAGACCCCTTCCAGGCTGCTTTTGCTCCCGAACCTATGGAGGTGGACCCACTCCCGGAAAACACAGCCGCTGCACCCGGGGGGCTGGATGAGGAAGGGGCCCCGCCATCGCACCTCCCTCCGGAGCAGAAACTGGTCGCAATTGCAGACTGGTTGGTGGCTAACCTAAAGGCTAAATATGGGCCCCTTACGGACGATTTCTGAGATAAAACATACCTGGATTTGTTCCCGATGCTGGATATGAGTTCCTCGCTTGTAAATGTCCTCGAAAAAGGCCTGCAGCCTGGAGTTAAATGGACAGATGTGTGGCAAAGGATAGCCACGATTGTATTTGCGAGGTTCCATCCCCCACACTCAGAAATAAGGAAGGACGAAGGAGAACAAACTGTTGTTCCCCCCCCGGACCCGGACCCCCCGGACCCGGATGATGACATGCCACTGGCCATGGTGCGGAGGAAAAAGCTCAGGCATGTGATCGAGATGGGCCGGGACATAGCCCCTATCACAAAAGGCAATGTTGCTGCTCCCCGTCCGGAAGAAAAACGGAAAATGGGAGGTTGGACTGACGGCAGTCGATGACCCCAAGACAAAAGGGGTCACGCTGCACGGCTGGTCATCCTTTTGGGCCAATGACCAGCACGACCGGACAGAGGCAGTAAAAGGCCTTCTCCAGCTGCAGCTAGAAGCGCACGTCGCCGAGTCCGTGCCACCGGGGGCACAAGCAATGGCTGCAGTGACGGCAGGTCCGGATAAGATCTCTCAAACGGACATCTTTATCCGCTATGATCCGGCCAAGGAGGCGGGCCTGGCATGGCACACTCGGGCCCAACTGCTGGACCTGCCGACTTTTAGGATCAGGGCTGGTGAGCTTTGGTCTGATCAGGACGCCCAGACATGCCTATGCGCCCTTCTCAGGCTGAGTCTAAAGGGGGGTGCGAAGGATTGGGAGTGGGATCAGTTACCGTGGACCCGGGTGTGAAATGCTAGCTGCAGATGGACCCGATTAGAACTGTATATGGGAAGGACCGCGTCTGGAACCAATGCCGACGGGCAGCAGACCTGGATTTACGATCTCTAAATGTCAACGGTCTGGCCTCCTGCAAAAATGACAAGAAGGACGCAATATGGGATTTGCTGAGAGGGGTGGGGGGTAGGGACTGGCCGGATGTGGTGTGCATTCAGGAAACCCACCTGACGGACACTCCGGAACACAACCGAACACACAATACAGTTTGGCCATACACAGCCTTCAAGCCCCACGCCCCGAGACCCGGGAGTGCGGGGGTGGCCATCTGGATCCCCCCCGGCTCCCGTGCCGACCCGGTATATTGGGCGGAGGACAAGGAGGGAGGTAGATGGGCTTTAATTTTGGCCACTTTTGAGCTGGAGGTTGTATGCATTGTGTGTGTGTATGCCCCTAACGGGGTGGGTGAGAGAAGAGTTTTTTTTGAACAAATCGGTTCTCAAATCCCGGAGGGAGTCCCCATCATCATGGCGGGAGACTATAACGCAGCGCCGGACCGATGGATGGATAGATGGAAGATCCCCTCCCCCGCCCCTACATTTATAGAGGAGGACGAACGGACAATATGGGAGTTATGTCTGTCATTGAATCTGTTTGACTCCTTCCGGAGACTTAACTCAGACACGAGACACTTTTCCTGCCTGCGGAAGATCGGGACCGAGGGCCAGTCGAGGTCCAGGATCGACCTGATTCTTCTATCAGAGGAGCTGGTCGGAGCTCTGCTGCTGGCAGCGATCTTTCCGGCCAGCCCGCACCCAGGGTTCGACCATAAGATGTGCACGACGATTTTATCTTTTAGAAAGAAGCCTGATCACGGCCCCGATTTTTATAAATTAAATGTATTCATCTTGCGGAAGGACTCATTTAAGCGTTACATTTCGGAATGCTGGGCCTTCTGGCACACAAAGAAACATCTCTTCCCATTACAAATCAACTGGTTCAACAATGACCTCTTCTTTTTCGGGAAAAAATGGCAGGAATTTTCCAAACAACTCGCAGCTAAAAATTATCAGCAGGGAATGGAAATTCAGCAGCAACTTCAACAACTTGAGCAGCAGGACTCTAACCACTCAGACATTAACACAGACAACAACCAACACGAACAAGAACAACTGGAAGAGGCCGCACAGGTAAGGCTCTTACAACAACGGCTCCAATATTTTGCTCAACAACGCTGGGAAGGAATACGGATCAGGGGTAGAATGTCACGTCACCAAAAGGAAGGTTCCATGGACAGAAAGTTCTTCAGCATGGCCCGAACACGGATGGGGAGGACAAGAATACAAGCTTTGTATGATCCTCAGTCGGGTCATACAAACGTGGCAACCACCACCCCCCACTGCACTCAGATAGCTAGAGCCTTTTACAAGGATCTATTCACCTCCAGGTGCTGTCAGAGGGGGGAGGAGGTCAGGATGAAGGAAATTGCAGAATTCTTAACCCCAATGACGAAATCCCTGACAGACCAGCAAAAGACGCACCTCGATCGTCCACTGACCAAAGAGAAAATCTGGAGCGCAATGCTGCAGATGGATGAGGAGAAAACCCCGGGGGCAGACGGCCTCCCGAAGGAGTTCTGGGAGACCTTCTGGCCACAGATGGCCCCTGATCTGATGGACTTCTACCGCTCGGTGTGGGAGACTGGGGAGATGGGGGAATTGGTGGGGCAAGGCATCCTCACACTGCTGCATAAAAAAGGCGACGTGATGGACATTAGAAACTATCGTCCTATAACCCTCCTCACGGTCGTCTACAAGATGCTAGCGAAAGCTTTGGCAAACCGGCTAATCCCGGTTTTGGACCAGATCATCCATCCTACACAAACTGGCTTCATTAAGAGCCGCARGATTCACGACAATATTTTKCTGRTAAACGAACTGCTCAAATTAACCAGGCAGGACAAGCGCAACGCGGCWGTGGTCTTTATAGATTTCGAGAAGGCATACGATCACGTTGACTGGCGGTTCCTGGACAGTTGTATGGAGAAAAWRAATATAGGTCCAGTCTTCCGCCGCTGGTCCGAAATCCTTCACCACAATGCGACTACGAGCGTCCAAGTCAATGGCAGACTAGCGCCTCCCTTCCCGCTGCAACGGTCTGTCCGCCAGGGCGACCCTCTAGCACCATTCCTGTTCATAATAGTAATCGAGGCCTTGGCAGCGAACCTCCGCACAAATAAGGACCTGAGGAGACTGCAGATTTCGATTATTATGGAAGATGCAATCCCCGTGTGTTCACTTTTCGCGGATGACCTTACGCTGATGTTGGACGCCACCAGCGAGAACATGGAAGAGATCCGACGCTGGTTTGACAGATTCACTGCAGTATCAGATATGACAGTTAACTAGGACAACAAAACCCTGGAATGGTGGATTCACCATCAAGGGGTGCGCCCCCCGGAGCTACCCCGGGTAAAATGGCTCCCGGAGTTGGCCCCGGTGAGAGTGTTGGGTATCATGTTAACAGCAGCTGGAAAGCCAGCGTCCAGCGACAAGGCGACTCTCAAACCAGCGCTCAAGAAACTGGCGCACTGGAAGGATCAACACGCCTCCCTGGTTGGAAGGGCTTTGGTGATAAACAACGTTGTCCTGGCCGCCTTATGGTACCTAACGGCAATTTGGGCACTGAGTAGAGAAGCGGTGCGGTCATTGAAGCGACAAATAACTGCACTATTATGGAGAGGGAACGGCGACCTGCCGAATGTGATTAATAGAGTGGCATGGCGGTCGGTTGTACAACCTAAGGATAAAAGGGGGGTGGGAATTCTCGACCCCGCTACTCAAACTGCCGCTCTCATGGTCCAATGGATTAAAAGGATGATTTTCACAAAGGAGTTCCCATGGCATGCTCTCGCGCTGGAACAGATCGCCCGCCTGGCCCCACAAGCACCACAAACGGTAGATCCTTTGACTTGGCTGGAGGATCTTTTCTGGTCCATCCCAAGACGCCCCCGTTCAGATCAGACGCCAGGCAGGGGGGCAGCTCGAGGCGACCTGGCAAAASACGACTTTTGGGTCCGCTGCCTGAAGGCTTGGCGCCAGCTCCCTCTCCCATAGAAACCCTGACCCTCCAGATGGGAGGAGGTAGCCAGACAGCCCTTGTTTGGCAACAGAAAGATCACGGACCGAAATGGAAGGGTTTACTGCAGCTCGGCCCCCCCGTGGAACAGTTGGGTGAGAAAAGGTATAATCAGAGTCAAAGACATCTGGGATGTAGGGAGCAGGGACTGGAAAACAGCCCCGTAGATGAGGACGGCGCTGAAACATTGCCACAACTTGGAAATGAACCTGGAACAGCTGATCTTTTCGATTTCACTGGACTGGGTCCGCATTTTGCGCAAGGGCCCAGGATTAAAGGAGGGGGATTGGGTCGCGGTCCCGGGAGATCCAGAGAATGTAGGGAGTGTTGTGGAGGTACGCGGGAACGAATCGCTGATAAACCTCTTCCATAAAAAAATTGACAATCTACTAACCAGCTATACCCCGGAGGTGACGAGATGTCACCTAAACACCGACCTGCATCGGATTAGGGTGCTACATACGAAGGAGGGCTGGCTAGCATACCGGCTGGAGACTCGGTTAGCCGACCTCCCCCTAGACCCGGAGGAGTGGCAATGGCCGCTTGCGCATGGGATCCACTCAGCTAAGAAGGTGCAGCTACCGAGTCTCTCGGTGAAATCCACGTACCGACTACTGCGGATCAAAGTAAATCTGAAAGATATTGTGAAGGACCGCTGGAAATCTCATCTGAATCTGGGGGAGGACCTCATCCGCCCCATACGGTGGTTTGCCCTCACGCGGTCGAAGCCTGCAAAACTGGCCTCGCTGCAATGGCAGATAGAACACCGCTGCCTCCCTACTAATGACTGGCTGATCGACCGCACACGCTTAGAACAAACACGACGGGCTCTTCCGTGGTGTAAGTCCCGCGTCTCAGTGTTTCCCTCCAGAAAGGTCCCTGAGACGATTGAACATATTTTTATGCAATGCCCGGGGGCTGTTCTCACATGGCGATGGTGGGATCGAATTTGGAGTAGTCTGGGCACCGACTCCCGGTGGCCGTGGGACTGGAGGGCGATCTTGTGTGAAACTTGGTCCTCCCCCTTAGGCAGCACTTTTGAAAACAATATGTTCAAAACAGGTAGGAGGGCGGTCGTTTGGGCAATCTGGAGGAGACGTTGCATACACACCATGGAGGGGG